AAGGTTTTGTACAAGTGTTGCTTTTCTTTTGTTGAATTTATTGCTATTTTAATCTTTCATATTACATTATTATTATATTTTCCTAATTTATATGTAATTATATCTTCACTTTCACTTTCGGGTTGTTCCTCACTATTGTTTGGAAATGCCATTGACTTTTGTACCCTGCAACCTCACTAAACTCATGTATTGCTTCTAGTAATTGTCTGGTGAGTTCCTTAGGATTTCCGTCCATGACCTTGTCACCTGTGGGAAGTGATAGCCTGACTTCTTCCTTTCAAACCTGGATGCCTTTTCACTCTTTTCCTACCTGCACTGCTAGAACCTCCGACACAACATTAACACCAAGTGGCAAGAGTAGACACACGCGTGTCTTGACCCTGATCACAAGGGAAGGGTTCAGTCACTCCCACGAAGTGTGACCTTGACTAAGGCTTTTCTCAGATGCCTCTCACCAGACTCACACATGGGTTCAGGACTCAGTGGGAGACATGGGTCATCAGGATTCAGGGTCCCCTCTCTAGCGTCTTCCTTCCCAGGACCATCCCCTTTTCCCCTACAACCATCTCTCTTCTGATTTCTCAGGCCAGAGACGCTGCCATGTTTCTGCCAGTTCCCTGACACCTGGCACCACACTGACTGCAACCACCCTGAAGCAGCAAGTAAACGCAGGCACCCCTAAATTCCTCTCCTCTATGTGTGGACCTCCTACTAGAACCTTCTTAAACGTCTATTCACTCACTCTCTGGGGCCTCAGGCAGCTGCTTTCTTAAAGCTTACACCAGTTTTCTGGAGGAAGGTCGGCTGAGTAGGATTTTACTCAGACATGACTGGCCGTGAAAGTCAGATATTTAGCATGTACGCTTTCAGGAAATTCTTATCCCAAGAGTTTGATGACCACATCTCAGTGTCTGGAAGTCACAAATGTGTTTAGGTCCTGGCAAGAAACCGGGAGGACAGCAAGATTCCTTTTACATGTGAATAAGATTCTTAGGGAAAAGACACACTTCTCAGCATGTGCTCGAGAAACTTCCTCTCCTAAGTCAGAGGAAAGTAACCAGGCAGAATACGCAATTACATTGACTTCTTTGACAACAAAATAAGAAATTAAACTGATGTCAACTTTATAGCCAGCAATACCCCCAGATCTTTTTCACCCAAAGGAATAATCCAAGAATGGTAATAAGACAAATTCTCTTCTTACTGAGGTGAGGTTCACATAACAGAAAATTAACTATTTTAAAGTAAACAATTCAGTGGCATTTTTTACATTCGCAATGTTGTGCAACCACCACTTCTATCCAGTTGCAAATCCTTTGCATCACCTCCCCCCCGCCAAAAAAAAACCCCTATGCCCATTAAGCAATTATTCCATTGCCTTCTCGTTCCCTACCCAACTCCTGGCAGCCATCAATCTGCCTTCTATCTTTATGGATTTACCTCTCTGGATGTCTTATGTACATGGAATCATATGATACGTGACCTTTCGTATGTGACTTTTTTTACCAGGAATAATGTTTTGGAAGTTCGTCAGCATGTAGCACATATCAGTACTTCATTCCTTTCTATGGCTGACTAATATTTCATTGTAGGTATATACCACAACTGGTTTATCCATTCATTCACCGAAGGACATGCAGGCAGTCTGCATCATTTGGTTGCTGTGAACAGTGCTGCTATGAACATGAACATTTTTCCACTTTTTTGTAGTACGTGATGACAATGGTCAATTTTAAGTGCATATTTCAGTGTGCTGAGTACATTCACAGTGTGGTACAACCATCACGACTATCCATCTCCAAGCCTCTTCATCTTCCTTCACTGAAATTCTGCATCTGATAAATACTAACTTCCTCTCTCTTCTCCCCTCAGCCCCTGGTAACCAGCCTCTATTCTGTCTCTATAAATCGGACTACTCTGGGTATCTCATATCAGTGGAATCATACCACAGTGGTCCTTCTGCATCTGGTTTATTTCATTTAGCATAAAAATTTCAAGACAAACATCAACATTGTTTATCAAATAAAAACTGCGCATTTAAAGGAGACAATTCAGCCAGGCTCAGTGGCTCAGCCTGTAATCCCTCGCCTTGGGAGGCTGAGGTGGGTGGATTACCTGACCCCGCGGGTTCGAGACCTGCCTGGGCAACTTGGTGAACCCTCATCTCTACAATAAATCAAAAAATTAGCCGGGTATGGTTGTGCGTGCCTGTAGTTCCAGCTACTAGGAAGGCTGAGGCGGAAGTATCGCCAGAGCCCAGCAGGTCGAGGCTGTGGTGGCCAGGAGCGACCACTGCACTCCAGTCTGGGCGACAGAGTGAGACTCCAACGCAAAAAAATAAAAATAAAAAATAAAAATAAAGTAGACAATTCAGTGGCATTTTTCACAGTCACAATGTTGTGCAACCACCACTTCTATCTAGTTCCAAACCATTTTCATCACCCCCCCAAAAAAACTATTTCAAGCGCAAAAACTATTTAAGTTTGACACTTATGAATACAATAGTTGTCATAGTTGTAATCAAGCAGCAAAGACATCACCCACGCCATGTACGAAGCAAGCACCTCCTGCTGGCATCACCTCATTTGGTTCTCACAGTCTCTCTGTGAGACAGGCCTTACAGAGGAAGGAGGGACCAGAGGCCAGGGACTCGTCCAAGGACACACAGCCTGAAACCCAACAAGCAGCACACACACTCAGGCCTTCCAGACTTCAGTCCTTTCTAATTCACAGGATCAGCTGTCGCCCAACTAGCTTAAAAGAAGGGTCCAGACAAGGAGAAACCCAAGGAAGGCTCCAAGGAGAAGAAAGATCTCAACCTGGAACTCGATAAGCGGGTTTTGCTAGGAAGAGGAGGAGCACAGAGAGGGCATTCCAGGCCACCAAGGGCAGAGATGAGCTGGGAGGGGACTGGACAAGGAAACAAGAGGCAGGAGGTGACCAGGAACCACAAGCATCCTGATTTGAAAAGAGCTTAGAAGAATCTTCTCTTTCATTTCCACCTAGAATGGATCATCTTAAACAAGGACTTTTGTTCACCAGAGTAGATGGATACACAGAATTTCAGCCAAAAGCTACATGTGCCTGAGAACTTCCTATTGGCATCACTGAGCTTGTCCCTTCCCACCTCACCCTGGACGTGGAAGGAGTGAGGTGTCATTTAATACATGACAAAGTCCTGACTGAAACCAGACAAGTACTAAAGTGAATTTGAGTCATTTATTCAATAACTGCTGCTATACACCACCTGTGCTCTTAAGATCAAGTTCCGCAGAAGAGAAAATAACCAAAACAAAAATACCTTCAGCTATGAGTGCTAACCTACCCACAATTTTCTAGAGTTTGTTTCATTCTTTTCCAAAAAAACATACTTCATCCTTATCTTTATTTTATAGAACATCTCTTCAAAAGGAAAAAAAACCTTATGGCTTTGCTCACTGTCTTTGGCAATATTACTAAAGGTATAAACGCATTTAGATTAACAATCACTCCTACCAAAAGAATTTTTTTAACTACCCAGATTGTCTATTGCTGAAGTAAAAAGAAAAATCAAGAGGAGCGAAAGAAGGCATTTATAATTTGTGGATACCAACCACCCAGAAGCAGAAGGATCATAATTTGGCTCTAGTGAAAAGATTTGGTCTATTAAGATTAAATGACAAAGGCTTCTTTGGACAACTCTGTATGTCAGTTAATGAAGTATCAAAATAATGCCAACATATGAATCAATGAAAAAGAAACATTTTAAATATCACAGCCTCAACAGTGGAAATCCAGCAAGCTCACACATTTGAAAAACAAACATACCAAGGTTCATCTCTCCCTGAGAAGAGTTTTCTCTTGTCAGAGATAAGAGATAACTTATTAAAAGAAATTGATTTCCCTTAAACCCCTTATAACAGAAAACAGGAGGAAAACATTGTAGTATGCACTGAATTTTCTATACAAAATGTACTTTTTAAAAAAATAAAGACATTCAAATGGAAAGTTTTGATTACAAATAGCAGGGCACCAAAGAATGTGAACACAGAAAGTTCATGTCTAAACTCTAAGCCACTTATGATAAACACTTACATAAGAGAAAAAATAAACTTTCAGTTCATTCTACCCGGTAAAGAATGTAGGGGACACAGCTGAGACTCCTATTTACCCAGTATAGAAAGTAGGATCTTGGGCCAAGCAGAAACTATAATCAGACAGAACACCTAAAGACATAAAGTAGGGCTCCCCAAACTTGCCTTTTTAAATGTCCTGCCTATTTGCTTCCTTTGCCATTTGTTACTAGGCCAGGGGGACTGAAAGGAAGCATCAAACAATTGCTCTCAATAATCACAGTTAGAAACCAAGCAGAAATAAAACTAGAAAATAAACACGGTTCCTAACTTGAGTTTCTAACCCATAACCCCAACGCTCCGAAAGTGTAGACATTTTTCAAATAAAGATTAAGAGGAAGAGTTGGTGGAATTTAAGGAAAATGCCATCCCATGACACCACCTACATACTTAAAAAACGAATCTGCACCGGGAAACAGGGACAAAACAATCGACCCGTCAGTGTTAGAGCGCCACATACTGGTGAGAAGCCCTCATAGCAAACACAAGACCCAGCCATTAAAACAAGATAAATTAATTGGAATAAGAAGGAAAGTAATACTAACTCTTCTGATTCATCAGCGCATCTTACTTCCACAAGGAAGGAGAATATGTGTTACATACACTTATAAGGGTGAGCTTTATCAGTTCCCAAATTCAATTCCACAATCCCCAAGAGCTATAAGGACTTATATTTTATAGTCAAAACAATCAACATATAAAATACCATTTCACCTCTGTAGCCAAATACATAAAAAGGGTCTTTAAGCAGAAGATGCACACGTGTATTTCATTGCTAAGAAATAAATTATAACATTCATAATATATTTAAATATTAATAAAACCTACACTGGGATCACCCCACCCCCACCTTTATCAGAGAAGTAACAAAAGTCACAGGGCAAAGAATTTGTCCAAAGAACTGGACTGAAAAACATAGTTTATTTTAAAAGTACAAAGACCATTCAAATAAAATAGTAAAAAAAGTTTTCTTTAAAGTACCATAGCACCTTTGTAGTCCAAAATATATTTACCTTAGTACATCTTTTTATCCTAGGAACAACTATTTTGTGTTTCCAAGTCATTCTTCTTATTTATTTTCTTAAATGCTAACATTCTTAAACCTTGGCATGAAATATTGGTGAGTCATTTGTCCTGAAGAACAACCTTCTCTTTCAGACCCAGAATCCCACATCCAAGCTTGACCTCAATTCAGAGACTGTATGGCCCACTTAAACTTTGATCTCTAAAGACCAGACTTCAGAGTTCCTCAACAACTTGGATCAGAATTCACAAATACACTCCCGGCTGTCCGTACAAGCTTCGAGTGTCTTTGGTTTGTTGATAATTATCACCAGGTCCACAAAAGTCAAGGCCTTTGCTTGATCACAGATGACTGATTGCAGATAAGAATATGATGAGAAAAGTCACATTCCCACAGACATAAACTGCCAGCACTGCCTTCTTAAAAGAATGACCCTGAAAGAAAAATAGACATATGAACAAAAGGATGGCCTTAAAACTCTTTTGTGTCCATAAACAAGACAAGGACTTAAGGACTTACCTCTGCTTCAGCTACAGTAAATGACTGAAGGATCTGAATTCTAACATCATCCAATAGTTCCACTGTCAAGAACAATAACGTGAGTTCATAAGGCCAGTGTTATGCAGGTAAACCAACTTAAAAAAAAAAAAAACATACCTGATTTGAAGTGTTTACCAATTTCCAGGGTGTAAATTCTCCCATTTCAAGCTACTAACTATTGCAAAACTCCTGAATGCTTGAGACTCACAAATTGGGACAAGCTATCTATAATGCACATTTGTCAAAGAACTTAAAATATGTCCTCTTCCTCTGGTCAATAAACATCTCCTCAAAGTCTTAACAATCTAACTTGTTGTGGTTTATTTTATTTTTAATTGACAAATATTATGTACATTTATGGTGCATAACATAATGCTACGATACATGGATTCATTGCAAAACGGCTAAATCAAGCTAATTAACATATGACAACAGTCCAGGTTTTAAGTGTGTATGCATTTTTTTTGAGTTAGACTCCCACTCTGTCTCCCAGGCTGGAGTTCAGTGGCTCAGCCTTCCAAGTAGCTGGAACTATAGGCATGCACCACCACGCCTGGCTAATTTTTTGATTTAGTGTAGAGACGAAGTTTCACCATGTTGCCCAGGCTGGTCTCAAACCCATGGGCTCAGGCAATCCTCTTGCCTCCACCTCCCAAAGTACTGGGATTACAGGCGTGAGCCACCATGCCCAACTGTGTTTGCATCTTAAACAGAAAACCATAATCCTCTGGTCATTAGAAACCCTGCGTATATAACTCTATCATGAACCAAAGTGGCAGGACAGATCATTACTATTCAGCTCCTAAAAGCCACCCAGGTTCCTAAGCTCACAACATATATACTAGACAACAAAGAGTTTTTGTCTTCGAAAGCCACCTTCACTTAATTTGGGGACTAGAAAGGAACTAGACAGGACACCAAGGACACTTAGCCTAGAGTCAAGCTAGCTTAAAATGCCACCCATTCTCTATAATGTCTCCACTCCCTCATGATGGCTATAGGTGTCTTGGCCCTGCCTGGCCAAGGCAGAAGCTGACCTTGCCACCAGAGAGCACACACAGGGCAGGTCCCTCCTGTCGGGCAAGCTCCCAAGCTAGGTATATATGTACACAGCAACCTGAGTGACAGCATACAGTGCATCTGTCAAGTAGATACACAACGTGGCCTTCAGCGTTTCCGGGTGTGGCTTTGAGTCTCTTTTGCCTGCATCTCAGGGGTCTAGCTCCATGCATTCAGAGTTCCCATCTACACTGGTTGTCCAAGTCAGACCAGCAGGCAAAGCAGAAGTTCTTACGAATAAGACTTCTTCTCTACAAACTAAAAATCCTCCCTTTGTGTTTGACTCCCAACTTCTAATACCAATAAATGTAAGAAACAAAGGCAGAAAACATCCATAATTTCTGCCACTGGCATCACCACGAGGATTTTTAATGAGTTACTACCGCATGACCGTCAACCATTAGGATCAGGAAACTAATTCTTTTCCAATAGTGTGTACAAAAGTGATTCAACATATAACACGGCTTTTTGAGCAGGTTACCTCTTCGAGAGAGTCGGTAAGTGTGAATCTCCAGAACAATCTCAGTCCCGACATGCCATGCTACAAATCCAATCATGGCATAGGTTTTCCGAGAATCTGGAAGATCCAGTCCTGGTAAATCCATTCCCAGGAACATTGCAGCCACTAAATGTAAAATAAAATTTAAAAATTATATATATATATATTCCAATGTTGTCCCCCCAAAAAGATTATTGTAATCAAGTAAAACATACTCAGAGTTTATGAGATAAATAAGTGTAAGGCCCAATAGCTCATTTAGTCTTTTTTTAAATTGTAAGACTAGATAGGGCAAGATGAGAAATTGTCATTAGGACCTACCGATTGTTTAAAGAGGCTTAAGTATTTATTACATAAGGCATCAAAAATGTACTGGATTATCAGATTTGACTTTGAAAATAGCCCTACCCTGGAAAATATAAGCCTCATGGAATGACTTGCAGATAGAGGGCTTGACACCCACAGCCCACCTTGGCCTAACTCACAAGTGACCCTTAACTTGAGCTGCTCAGATGTTTAACTGTCAGCATAGCTGATTCTGCTGACAAAGGCGAGCACTAAAATAAATCTTAAAAGGGGAATTTTAAAGTCATTTTAAAGACCTTAAATTTAAAATTGAAATAATGACTTAAATAGCATCAACACCCCAAGTGCCCATGCCACAAGAGATAAATAGACAAGTGGGACCTCATCAAACTGACAAGCTTCTGCAAAGCCAAGGAAACCATCAAGAGAGCAGGGAGACAGCCCACAGACTGGGAAAAAGTACTTGCCAACTATATGTCTGAAAAAGACCTAACATCTAGGATCTACAAGAAACTCATACGTGCCTAAAAGAAAAATACAAACAGCTCCTTTACAAAGTGGGCAAAAAATATGAATAGACACTTCTCAAAAGAAGACATACAAGCAGCCAACAGGTACATGAAAAAATGCTCAGCCTCACTAGTCAACAAAGAAATGCAAATTTAAAACACACTGAGATACCACCAAATTCCAATCAGGATGGCCATCAATAACTCAAAAAACAACAGATGCTGGAAAGGATGCGGGGAAAAGGGAACAATTCTACACTGTTGGTGGGAGTGTAAACTAATACAACCTCTGTGGAATATAGTTTGGCGATTCCTAAAAATCGACCTTCCACACAATCCCACAATCCTCCTACTGGAAATATACCTGGAGGAACTCAAAGCACTCTATGAAAAAGATGCCTGCACACGCATGTTTATTGAAGCATTATTCACAATAGCAAAAACATGGAACCACATGTGCTGCCCATCAAAAGAGGACTGGAAAAAAATGTGGTACATATACATGATTGAATATTATGCAACCATAAAGAAGGATAAAATTATGAATTTCACAATTTAAATGGACTTAGAGCCTATAATACTGAGTGATCTATCACAGAAACAAAGAACTGAGTATCACATGTTCTCACTCATAAGTGGACCTTGAACACTTGTCATATAATACTATAAGAAAAGGATTGGCAGTAGTGAGAAACTGCCAGGGGTGGGGGAGGGTGGGATTGGCAGTAGTAGGAATCTGCCTGGGGGGGAGGATACCTCATCAACAAGGGTACCTGCATAATGAACATTTGTGTACCTAAACCTGAATTGTACCCCACATCTTTAAAAAAATTTTTAATAGTTACCTCTAGAAATTACATTCTGGATTTCCAAGTTTAGGGCTGATTTCTCCTCAACAACCAACTACTCCAATTACTAATGCATCTAAGTCATTTAAGCAAAATTACAACGTGCGATATAAACAGCCAGAAATTCCATAGGAAAGAGTGAGTGGCATCACCATTACTTACCAGCTATTATCCTAGCAGCTGTTCCCATACTCCAGTGAGTCCAGTTAAACATTTGCCTTCTATCAAAATAAAGGATCAGTCAGTATGCTTAAAAGCCATGGGACTACAATGAATTCCCAAGAATATAAAAAGCATGTGCTTTCCCTGATGGCCTGGGACTTAGAGATTGGAAATACATCTTAGAGGTTTTCAAAGCAACTGCAATTTAGCACCGAATTTAATAAAATGTAAAATGCTTCCACTAAAGAAGGGATTCATTTGCCAACTAACGCCACCCACATTCGGAGAGCATTTATAGATGTAAGCAGTGAGTACCGGGGGTCGTGGAAAGGTGGTCGGAAGGCCGCCAGGAGAGGCTGGAGCACTGCTAATGCCATCACTGCACAGCCCAGGTACGCGTGGTAGCCTGCACGCTAAGCAAATCACATCATCTTAGTCGTGTCACTCGGAGTATCCCTCGCTCCCATCGAGTCAAATCCACAAGTTGAAGATAACACACATATACACATATACACACACACATTTTCTTCGTCTTTTTCCATGACTTTAAACATTCAATACTGATGATAATAATAGCAGGTGACATTCACTGACTATGAGGGGGGACCCTCCCCCCAAAAAATGGAAATTATCAGGCCTCCCCCACTAGGTAAGTGTTCTAGGAACCCATTGGCATCCTTGGACCAGCTAGCCTTGTGAAAGGCTGCAATCGACTCCACTGATTTTTTTTTTCATTCTTTCAACACAGTTGCCTATTTCATGATAGGTGGTTTGCAAGCACACTTGCCCACTGAGCGTTCAGCAGTTTTTAACCCAAAATGGCATCATTCACTCTCCCTACCCTCCCTATTCACCCAATCTTGCCCTAAGTAACTTTTCTTTTTTCTTTTTTTTTCAAAAAGCAGGATTTACTGAGAGGACAGAAAAACTCCCACAGTGGGAAGGGACCCAAAGGGGTTGCCCCTGAGTAACTTTTTTGTTGTTGTTTCTCGGATGAAAAAAGTCCTCAAAGGGAAACATTTTGCCATTGTGGAAGAGGTGTGACAAAAAATGGCAGAAGCACTAAAAGGCATCAAAATGGATGAGCAGAACCTGGGTTGAGTGGTGGCAAAAGCTTCTTGATGGTTTTATTGCATCAAACAGAGAGTCCTTTGAAAGTTAAACATGTAAGAATAAGCACATCATTTTTATAAATAAATTCTGGGTTTTGGGGGTCCTCCCTTGTATATACTTTTGTACTAGACACATGCTTTATACACACGAATTCTCGCCACAGTGTTTGACCGCTGGTGCTCACTATCCCAGTTTTACAAATGGGGGATCTGGACTCAGAGACATTAAGCTCCGTGTCAAGCCTACTCTGTGTGAACTGTGGTGGATCCGTGCACAGAATGCCACCTCCCCCCATCAGGGTATGAGATGTCCACCAACACCAGACAATCATTTGCAGCCTGACCAGGAGAAGGGAGGATCCACTGGTCACTGAGAACAATCACCCCAATGTACGGTGATGATGTGTTTAGACTTCTGGGTTTCTCTAACTGTGGTTTTACATGACTCCCCACAGAGCTCTGGGTTTACAGATCAGGAGTTCAACAGAGTCTTGGTCACTCATTAAATGTCTGTTGGTTCGGTGAGTAACCTGTGTGGCCACTGTGTTCAAAGTTTATCTCCTCCATTCAGAATAAAGATCTCACACAAGGAGAAACCTCAACATAGTGTCTCAACAGTGCCCACTGCACTCCTCCTTAGGTGACACTGCATGCCTGCTCAAGCCAGAAGATGGTAAATGAGACTCCTCAGGACAGTGATTTCACTTAAACATTAAGAGAAGATCTAAGAAGATGCTCTAACCTGTGACGAGTTTGGACAGAGGGATGCTACAGTCTGTTGTCTGACACCTGTGCTTGGGTAGGATGTAATCTGTGACTTAGAAACAAGGACATGGAAGTGTCTGAGCCTTGACAGGAAGTCTTTGTAAACAGAAACTAAAGGCCAATAAAAGAGCAATATAAACATATTCTCAAACCATGAGCTCAGTTACACATGGATAAAAGTATAACCATGGTGAAGAGGTAAAGGGATTCTGTCTAACAAAAAACAAAACAGCAGCAACAAGACTCTTATACGTGTTTAGAATGTGCTAGGAACTATCCTAAGTGCTTTCAGTTAATTAATCCCCAATCCTCATGGAACACAGATGAGATAGATACTATGTACCATCCCCATCTTACATATGAGTAAACTGAGGGCCAGAGAGTTAAGTCCTGGGTAATAAGGGATGAGACCAGGATTTGAATCCAAAGTCTGGCTACAGAAAAATGCTCTTAATCTTTATACTATTCTATTCATAGACTGCAATGACTATTATCTACAAAATTACAAGATTTGTGTTACCCTTGTGCCAAGCACCTAAATAAAATAAGGTTCTAATATCTCGATTCATATAATAAAATCTCCATCATTTCCATTTTAAAAAATAGGTTGACTGACCCATAAACTACCTAAAAGCAGGAAGGAAGTTTCCTAGTACATCTGAAACCCAAGACTCACCAGTGTTATTGCTGTGGCATCAGCCCAAACTCTGAAATATATATATATTTTTTGAGTTGGAGTCTCACTCTGTCATCAAGGCTAGAGTGCAGTGGCATACTCACGGCCACCCCAGCATTGACCTGCAATCCTTTCCCCTTTGCCTTCCAAGTAGCTGGAACTACAGACACGTGCTACCACACCCAGCTAGTTTTTTATTTATTGTAGAGACAAGGTCTCTCTAAGTTGCCCAGGCTGGTCTGAAACCCGTGAGTTCAGATAATCCACTCACCTCGGCCTCCCAAAGTGCTGGGATTACAGGCTGAGTCACTGAGCCTGGCCAGCTCTGAAATATTAAACATCTAATTCTGACTGGCTAGTGTCATGGGAGTGTAAGCATGTCACTTATTCAGTAGGCCTAATTCACTCATTCACTAAATATTTACTGAGTTCCTACTAGGTCCTAGAATCTGTTCTGGGGGCTTGGATACACCAGTAGAAATCCCATCTCTCACAGGCTGACATACTGAGTGGGAAAGCAGACAAAGAAAAAAACGTGACAAGGACATCATATGAAGTGGCGTCAGGGAAGAGCGCTATTGGAAAAACAGAGCAGGGCGGGGCTCTCCGAGGGACACAAAGACTTGGGAGAAATGTGCACTAGGCAGAAGGAAGAGTCTACAAAGACGCTACAGATGGCTGGCACGTCTGCAGTCCAGCACATAGAGGCCAGCATGGAAGGAGATGCCCTGGATGGAGAGTAGGAGGTCAGTCTAGAGAATGGCAGGCAGTCAGAACATCTAGGTCATCAGAGGGACATCAAGAGATGTTAGAGACACCAGTTTGGGGCACAGGCAAGACATGAACTCGTTAACTTTTTTTTTTTTTTTTTTTTTGAGTAGGAGCCTCACTCTGTTGCCCAGGCTGGAGTGCAGTGGCATGCTCACAGCCACCACAACCTCGACTTGCTAGGCTCAGGTGATCCTTCCGCCTCAGCCTGCAAGTAGCTGGAACTACAGGTGTGTGCCACCATGCCCAGCTAATTTTTTGATTTTTTGTAGAGATGAGTTCTCACCAAGTTGCCCAGGTTGGTCTCAAACCCATGGGCTCAGGCAATCTTCTCACCTCAGCCTCCCAAAGTGCTAGGATTATATGCGTGAGCTACCACGCCTGGCCACATTTTTTTAAAAATTACTTTGCCTTCCTTGTTGAGAAAGGGTCAAGCCAGAGAGACCAGTCAGGGCAACTGCAAATTCCAGGCAAGAGATGAGGGCAGCCCAGTTCCCATAGCATCACCGATGGCGGTGAGGTGTGCTGGCCTATGGCTATGCCTTAGATATGGAGTCAGGAAGACTTTCTGGTGGATTTGATGTGGCTGTGCAAGAAAGCACAGTCAAGGAGAACACCAACGAGTGATCTAAAGATGGAACTACCCGAGAGGAAAGACCAGGAATTCCATTCTGGCCATGCTGAGTGTGACATCTTGGATGTTTAAGTGGAGTCCTGAGTACAGCCTGAGCTGACTGCGTGAGTCCCAAGCCAGGGGAGAGGTCTGGGCTGGAGATAAGCATCTGAAAATAAGCCTCAATGTCTTCACTGGCAACACAGGATTATAATCAATACCTACTTCATCTGAGATTTAAATCTGACAGCACACGAAAGCACTCAGCACAGCAGGTCACATGGTAGAAATGTAACTGATGCTAGCTTAGTGGTCATCATCCTGCCAGTTAGAGAAAGCCACTTATAGTCTTTGTGTTCCTTGTACATCACACTTTGGTTCTGGGTTTTTTTCTGTTATTTATTTATTTTTTTTACTTGTCACTGATATGAGGCTCAGACAACACGCTTTGAATTGTGTCAACACTCTACAGTGAGAAAAATTCACCAAGGCTATCGTGTGTACCTAACGCTTGACGCACTTTAAAAATGCAACTCATTGCTAAGTTACCTGCACTGACATCGTCACCCACCAGAAACCCCAACCATGTGGGTCATCAAATGATCCGAAAGCAAGAGGAAGAGAGATTCATGCAGAAATCTCTTCTGATCCATCATCTGAGAATAAAACAGCAACCTGTGTTGACACCAAAGTGGATTTCCATAAGAACATTTCCATAAAAAGACATATACTCACCCAGCTCCAGCCCCCTCTGTAGATAAAAGGCAGGACAAAAGCAATGCAGGTGAGGGCACAGGTGGCGAGCATGAGCATCCGATGCACCTGCCAAGAAACATGACAATGTTAGAAGCCAGTCAATCGCGGAGAGAAAGGAGCCGGAGTTACGGTATAAACACAGGCAAGACATGGCTGAGACTTGCTGAAAGCAGGGATTCAGCTGACATCCCATCTCAGCTTGTAGGCAGTAAAAAGCGATCTCAGTATACCATTCAACTTTAAGGAAACCTGAGGCTGCCATCCTCATCATTCAAGAGCATCTGCCAGGACTTTGCCTGCCCCAAGCAGCAGGAAGGACATTCACACACACAGTACACGGACCACTCGCCTGCCAAGTCCTTCACTCCTTCCAGAGCTGCTGACTAAGCTCCACCATCAAGAACTGTACTAGACCAGGTGCAGGGAGACATCAAGGAGCAAAAGCTCCTGTCTCCCGAGGAGCTTCAGATAGAATTAAGCAGATAAGAGAAAAATATATGAAATATGTACTTCATAGTAGAAATCAGGAGAACGTTGTGTGAAAACAAGCCACTGTTAATTATTATGCCAGGATGATGACTGGCACAAGTCAAAACCATCCTGGGGAAAGCAGGATACAGGTTACACACACACACACACACACACACATCACCCTATATACGTGTGTGTATATATAAAGCCTATGATAAAACCATCTAGATTTAAAAGTAGTGGAGGATTTTAGTTGATAAACAAAAGACATAAAGAGTCCTCCAACTGAGAATATCCACATGAGCAGATGAGAGAGAGAACTCAGGAGTGAGAGTTCTCAAGTGTGATCAAGAAAGTGGCCAAACCAGAGGCAGAGAAAACCGTGCTCAAGACCAGGCGGGAAGCAACAGGGAGAAGACATAAGACAAACCGCCCCACCTACCAATAGTGAGCAGGGAGGTTAGATAAGGCCAGATACAATTTATTTGACTAGGAAGCATCAAGGCACCCTCTTACCAAGTCAAACCTGCTCCCATCAGGAGTATTCTACAAGCACGCATGTGCCTTTCAACTCAACACACGCTCGTTGATCTACATGTGTAAATATCTATACTCTGTAACCATGAAAGGGAAAGTCTGGTTTGCTTTGATTTGAAGGGTACTTACTGACTCTCGCTTGTGTCCCTTCCTGCCACAGGAAGGGGGAGCATGAAAAAGAACACTATTAGTTTCTCTTCTCACCCACCCAGGAAAGAGTTGATCCCAACTGGTGAGTTAGGGATCATCTAACTAGCATTCACAGGCCCCTCAACCTTTACTCTAAAATGCAATAACCATCCACTCCTGCCTCACTCCCCAGCCTTCTCCGGTTCATCTCTAATCAGGTCAGTGGGTGAACATTCTTCCAACATCTTCCTCACACAGAGAGATACAATTAAGGGTCAATTGTGTCCCAAGGTTTATATTACAAAGGAGTACACATGACCCTGACAGTCTCTCCAACCCAGCCTAACTCCTCATAAAGCTGTCTGCATTTTGATCTCCAGCAAGTATTTTGTGTCTCTACTCTCAATTGGCTAGGAGGACCCCAACATACAGCTATAAACTGCAACACACACACACACACACACACACACACACACACACACACACACACACACTGACTCATACAGACACTTCATATGTTCTCATGTTGCAACGTTCAGATGATATGAAAACTGTATTAAGCTTCTTCCCCCACCTACCTGAAACCAAACTGCTTCACCAAGGAAGAAAGCTTTGGGCCAAACTGGCTTGAAGAACCTGGCAACCAGCACACCTATGCTGACAGTAGTCATCCACGCCACAAACATTAAGGCACCTACAGGGAGAAAGCACAACAGTCGACATCACACATGAGTCAAGCTGCTTCTTAAATGACTAAGCCAAGTGCCCAGAGAACATAAGCAACCAGCAAAAGACACTCACAGACACAAATATAACCTAAAAAGACTCCACAAACCACAACTTTCTGCCACTGATTCCCCTGCTGGCTGGCACCTGCATGGCTCCTATTAAGTGCCTATGTGTAGTAATCTAATTGATCTTGACTGTAACCATAGGATGCAGTTACCACTATTATTCCAGTTTTGCTGGATGGGGAAACTAAGGCATGGAGACGCTAAGGAGCTTGGCCAAGGTTGCAAAGTCAGAGTACAAACCCCATCTGGCTGCAGCAACTGTGCTCTTAACCACTATACCAGTGCAGCCTGTCTGCAGTTGTTTCCAAATCTTACATCTCCAGAAAACAACGGAAAACAAACAGGCTCATTATTTCAGAACCCAATTACTACCAAATGGAACCCACAACATGAGCAGAAGCAAATGAACAGCCATAAAGTTATTTTTAAGCCTAACTGTAGTGACATTTACAGAAACTCCACTATAATGAACTCTGGAAAACATCCCAAATAAGGAAAGTTCCCCCCAAACACTAGTCATTCACAATAGTACCATACACACGACACCATTCCTGTATTTTTAAATCTCGCCTTTTTAACGATAAGCCAGGTTACTTTTCAGATGGAATCGACTTCAATCTGAAGATAGAAACAGAGCAATAGAAACAGAGCACATGAGAGCCTTGTTTTCAAGCTCTTGCTCTTTCAGCCTGGTTCCGTTCCCCGCTTAGACATGTGATAGCCAAGCACAGCACTGAGCACTTTGTATATCCTCAAATACTTGTACCTTGATCAGTTCAACCACATAAAAATGTATCTTTGAAACCAAACAATCATTACAAGTAAACAATAAAAACCATAGACCGTCTATGCTGAAAATTAAAATCTCATAAAAAATTAACCCAGTGATACTCAACCCTGGCTGCAGTTAGAAACAACTAGGATACTTTTTTAAAATTATAGCTGCCTCAAAAGCTCCACTGGTGATTTTAATGTGCAGCCAGGGTTAAAATCACTGAATTAGCCCTACTCTCCATTTTTAATAAAAATGAGCAAACCATAAGATAGACGGTGCTACCTGCAAATGTTAATGCTTTGACATAAAAGATGTAGTAAAATTTGCTAAATTGGGCCCACCACCATGCCTAATCTAGCCAGCACTGAGTCATCAGGTGAGTTTATTCCACAAAGTGGTAGTAACACCACACGCATACATGACTTACCATGAGCCTTCAGAAGGTGCACCGAACGGGAGCCTCCTATGTCCTTCGGAGAGTTAGTCACATCATGCTTTTCATATGTAATCAAAGGTTGCTGAGAGTGCTTATAAATTCGACCTGAAATTTTTTTTTAATGTTTTAAAAGAAAGAAGAATTATGTCTTCAAAAATGGGGGTAGGAGGGGAGATTGAACTTTGAGCATGACATGGAAACAAAATTTCTTAGGGTCATAAAAAATAACTATCAACAGAGATGTCATTCCTGTGCAAAAGCAGCATAAGGATATATGCAAGGGCACACAGTCCCCTTGAAAAAAGTTTAAAAAATAACATACCAAGCAAGAGATGAGTCAGAATAAAGATAAGAAAACCGTATTTTTAATTCTGGAATCTCTATCCTGTTCCATTGTTCTGTGGACCTATTCCTGTACCAATACTATGCTGTCTTGGTCACTATAACCTTGTCATAAAGTTCAGAGTCTGGAAGTGTGATACTTCTCACTTTCTTCCTTTTGCTGAGAATTGTTTTGGCTATTTGTGCTCTTTTTTGTTCCCATATGAATTTCTGTATTGCTGTTTCCAGATCTGAGAAGAACAATGTGGAATCTACAGATTGCCTTGAATAGGATGGACATCTTAACAATATTGATTTTTTTCAATCCATGAGCATGGAATTTTTTCTATTGTTTGTGTCATCCTAGATTTCTTTGAGCACAGTTTTGTAGTTCTTGTTATAAAGGTCTTTCACGTCTCTGGTTAGGTGGATGCCAAGGTATTTCTTTGTGTGTGTGTGGCTATTGTGAATGAGATTGTACTTTTTATTTGATTCTCTGCCTACTTGTTGCTGGTGTTTAGGAATGCAACTGTCTTTTACACACTGATTTTTGTTGGGAGCCAGCCTTGGAGGCCCACCAGATTGACAGGGTCCTGGTGACCCCGGGCCACAGACTACTGGAAACTCATTGTCCATCTTTCCACTATGTTGTTTAACCCATCCCTTTCTGCCCATGTGATGACTCTGAGGCATGTTTAAAGGGCTTTCTTTCGCTTGGTCATGGGTTACAGATTTGTTTTTAGGGTTAGGATTTGTGACTAATACCTGGTAAAAAGAGCTTTCTGATTTTGTTTAGGCAAAGAATTGTTTTAAATATTTTTACTTATTATTTGTAGTCGTAGTTATGGTGTTTGAATACAAGGCATAAGATTTAAGTGTAGTGAAAGTTTATATTAAGGTATATGTAGGTGATTCATAAGTTTGTTTTGAGATACATATTAAAGTTATAGTATATAAAAAGTTAAAGGGTTTAGATGTAGAATTTAAGTGAGTAAAACAGGTTTTATCTAACATCACTAGAAGTTTCTTCTGAGCTGCTTTTTCCTTAGAGATAAGCTGTTCCAGATAGGAAAACAATAAAGGAATTCAAATAAGAAAAACTATCAAGGGGCTTAAAAGAGCAGAAAGTTTTCAAGAAGAAACTCCTTGTCCATGAGAAAAGAGACATCTGCCAGGCACTTCTAGGAAATCTCCAGGTGCACATTCTTCCGCCAGATGGAAATATTCTACATATGAACTGCTCCAAAATCCTGGGCCAGAAACTGTTGTTCTGGCCCCCAGAGACTTTATTATGGAAAAACCTGTTTCCCTGGATAATTTGAATATAGGAAGTTAAGTTTATAAGAGTTAAATTTGTTAGAAAGATTGTAATATATATTAGTTAATTTGGGATATAAGTTTTGTTTTAAGTGGAGTTGTTTAATGAGAAGCTTTATAATTTTATAATTTAAAGATTTCATATTAATGGGTTGTGGGAACTGTTTTCACAGGGTAACATCATTGTGTCAGGATTATGTTGTTTTGGGTGGAAATAGTCTCCAGCCTTAGAGAGAACACTAGCCAAGCGCAGAGTAGAATACTTAAACTTAAGCATCGATTTAACATCACAAAAAAAAAATATAATTTGTTGTAAGTGATTTGTTTTGTAATGATGATTTTGACTTGCTCTGTGGCAGCAACTTGCAGAGATTATTTGCCTTGTAGAGAGAAATATAAGTTCGCTACTACTCACAATAAAATGGCATCTGCACCCTTTTAACAGGTGTCCAGTCTCTCTCTCTCTCTATCCCCTCCCTCCCTCCCTCATTCCCTCCCTCCCACCTACGCTGTCTCCACCTTTGGGGTACCTCTTTGGACTCTGCCGGAGAATTTACTTAAGTCATTTATCAGTGTGAGGAGGCTCTTGACAGACTCCCTCAGGTTTTCAAGATATAAAATGATATCATCCAAATGGTGAAAAGAGGGATAGCTAACTTGAAACCAGATGCCTACCTATCACCGTATACAAAAATCAATTCAAAATGGATCAAAAACCTAAACATAAAACCTCAAACGATAAGAATCCCAGAAGAAAACACAGGAAACACCCTTATGCACATCAGAGTAGGAGACAAATTCTTGACCAAATCCCCAAAAGTGAACATCATAAAAACTAAGATAGCCAAGTGGGACCTCAGCAAACTGAAAAGCTTTTACACAGCAAAAGAAACTATCAAGAGAGTAAAGAGACAATACACAGAATGGGGAAAAAAATTTGGAAATTATGCATCTGACAAGGGCCTGGCATCCAGCAACTATGAGGAACTCAAACAAGGTAAAAGAGGAAAAAAACTTTCCCACCAAAAAGTAGGCAAAGAACGTGAGCAGACACTTCTTTAAAAATAACATACAGCCAACAGACACATGAAAAAATTCTGTCTTGCTAATTATTGTAAAAATGAAAATCAAAACTACAATGAGATACCACCTAACTCCCGTAAGGATGGCCATTATCAATAAGTCAGAAAATAACAGATGCTACCACAGATGTGGAGAAAAGGGAACACTTCTACACTGTTGGGGAAAGTGCAGCTAGTTCAATCTCTATGGGAAACAGTGTGGCAACTCCTAAAAGAACTAAAAATTGATCTTTCCTATGAACCAGCTATCCCTCTCCTGGGAATAGACCTGGAAGAACATAGTCACTCTACAAAAAAAGATACCTGCACATGCATGTTTTCTGCAGCATTATTCACAATAGCAAAAATATGGAACCAACCCTGCTGCTCACCAAAAATAGAATGGATAAGAAAAATGTGGTACATATACATGATGGAGTATTATGCAGCCATAAGAGGAATAAAATCGTGGACTTCGCAGCAAATTGGACTGAGTTGGAGACCATCATACTAAGTGAAATATCACAGAAACAAAGACCTGAATACCGCAGGTCTCACTCATAAGTGAGCCCTGAACAACAGTCACATGACTACAAGGGAGGAATCAGCAGTTGCTGGGCACTACCAGGGGAGGGAGGGAAGGAGGAAGGTCAGGGCACGTGACAACACAAAGGGTACCTGATCCACTACTAGGGGAGTGAGGGCCAACTAGAAACCCAAACTTCGCCTGCATGCAGCCTACTTATGTAGTTAACCCACACTTGTACCCCACATCTCTATACTAAAAACAAAACAAAATAAAGAAAGAAATAAGAACAGGGAGCAAGAATTTACAGTAAGAAGAACTGGCGGCATGCAAGAGACAAATTAAACAATAAGCCAAAACAATTACTGTTAAGATGGTCACAAAGCACTGGAAATGTCACATTTAACTGTTGAAAGAGAACACATGTTTTAGAAAATCTACAAGCCATTAGCCACCACCTATCTCTGAAATTCTAGAATAAACTAACTGAAACTGGGCCTGAAGAAAAAGGGTGGGTAGAGGACAGAAAAAAGTATGTTGACGATGTGGTCTCGGACACATGGTCAATGTGAACTGCATTTGACTTAACAGATCAAATTTCCATTAGTGAGATGAACAAATTTGTTTACATTACTATTTTATTATTTATTATTACAATTTTATTATATCTAAAGGTAAATCTCTGACTGTATAGAATTACTCTTGGGAGTGTGTGTGTGTGTGTGTGTGTGTGTGTGTGTGTGTGTGTGTATGTGTGTCTGTGTTCATTCCAGAAATCAATTTTACCAAAGACATATGTTCAGGAATGTTTACTTTTTTTATACTGACCAAAAAATTAATTAATTAATTAAATGTCCATAATCAGGAGAATGAGTAAATAAATAATGGAATACACATATTTTTAGAATATTATGCCACTGTCCAAAAGAATTAGAACATTTAATATAACAAATGTATATATGAACCTTTGTCTAAAACGAATGATAAATTTAGGCCACACACTGCATCTTAATAATTTCCAAAAGGAAAGAATTATACAGGATACATGTATATTATCTGTCCAAACTGCAACAACAAAAGCTAGACATAAAATGGTTCTCCTAGGTATTTACAAAATTACTATTTTTAATAATCCTTGGGTTAAATAGGAAATCAAAACTAAAACCACATGTCTAACATGTGATTTTATAACAACAACAAAGACACTTCACAGGAAAACACATGTGATGCAATCAAGCTGCTATTCAAAAGTTTTTACCATTTTAACAGCGTTTCCTTAAAAAAAGACAAAGTAATGAAGTAATTGCTTCATTCCAGTTGCATTTAAAATAACAAAATATAACTTAGAAAACCAGAAAATAAAATTAACTAAAATTAAAGGTAGAATTTAAATGATTAAACCTAAAAATCAGAGAAGTTGACCCTGTAAAAGGACAATAAAATCGACTGAGTTTTTGGCAACTCTGACCATGCGATAAAAGGAAACATCACGATGTTTTATTAAAATAATTAAAACAGTGGCAGCTGCTCATATAGAAGACTTTTTTATAGCTATAGATAATCTCTACATACAATTTTAAATCAGGCCCCAAAAACCTCAAAATCTACATAAATGGGTGAATTTCTATAAAAATACAGAATTATAAAAATTGACCAAAGAATAAGCCAACCATGGAGAGTATAACAATAAAATAATTTTTTAATTAGTCAATTATTTCTATCCTACATCCAGAGTGTTAAATGAGTAAGTTCTACTATACTTTAAATTATTTCTTTTTTTTTTTTTAAGAGAAAGGGTCTCATTCTGTCACTCAGGCTGGAGTGCAGTGGCATGACCATGGTTAGTTGTAATTGCAACCTCCTAGATTCAAGGGATCCCC